GGCCAGTCAACCAGAATCAGAAAGGCAAGATACGCCTTCATCAATCTAAGACCAGTTTGGAAATCGTCTGCACTGACTAAGCCAGTATAAAGAACAAGATTCGGATTTTCAACACAAATGTGAAGTCAGTCGGTCAGTTCTTCTATGCGGGTCAGAAAGTTGGCCAGCGTGTCACGAAAAGCATCTCCAAGAAGTAACTGCAAACTTTTATCAACAGGGGTTCACTTTGCTGGCTCCATAGTGAAGATCAAATGGCCAGTCGGCTGGCCAGAAAGAATTAGCATCAAGAAACTCTGGCGATGAACAAACCAACAGGCGAGTTCCGATCGCTCAACAAATATTTAAGAGAAAATGGAGATGGATTAATCGGGCATACGTTGGCGAGACCATCGAATGACATCGTACGAGGGGGGAGATGACAGACTATAGTCAATCGTGGCTTCAGCCAGCTGAAGAGGACAGCACTAAACAGAACAAATTGGAGATGTACTGTTGAAGCCCAATGCTACACATTCGGAACCCAAGGGTACAATATTAAATATATATGAATCTTCATAAACTAAGCATTACTGGAGAAAATACTCCTAATAAAAAAGATACATTAAAAATCATATATACGATTAGAAATGCGTCAGTCAGTGTGTTCTTCTCTTTTTTGTGGTATAAAACAATAGTGTATGTTGTATGTAGGTAGTGTTGTTGGATGAAACGATAAAATCAAATTCCATCGCTATTTCTTTTACTTTCTTCTGTTTTATTAAAATTTCTATTCTCTTAACAGTACAGTATGCTTATACCCATTTGCTTGTGATACACGTCGGTGAGCACAATTTTTACGAAAAACCAAAAAAAACAAAAACAGACTAAAACAAACCATTTTGCCTCTCCCATTTTAAGGTATCTGATATCTCAAGAGAAAAAAAATGTGGCGCATAGATTTGTAGAGATTTGAAAACAGTTTCTTAAAAGACGACGCCTATGCATATTTACATATTCGATAAAATAATGGTATATAGAAACACATGAAATACAGATACGTTTTGTTTGAGTAGGATTTTTTGTTTTCAAACCTTTTTTTTAATACTGAACACAGAGAAAATTCACATTTCGATATCAATATCAACTTTGATAACAACTGACATTTTGTATGTGTGTTGGGTGGGGAAACGGGTTTGACGGCGGGAGAGGTGGTCGTCATCGTCGTGGTAGCACCCTTCACCGAGGGGATGATATTTCTGCTCGCTAGGCTAAATAAGTCATTCAGATGGGCGTGGTGATTTTCAGCTGTGACAATAACAACTATTTTCAATAGTTGGTTTGTAAGGATTAGTTTTGTTTTTATGAGTTGATCACGGATTGATATCAGTTAGAGAGAACCATTGAAAACCACCACCACCACGGAGTACGGGACAGCCAACTGTTTCATCAACCTAGTTTGGGAATCACCGGCAGTACGCATCGGTGGCACAGTGATTAGGACTCTCACCGACCATGCACATAGTCCGGGGTTCGATCCCCTGCCGACGCACACCTGATATCTATGGTCGGCCTGCGAAATTTGGGCTACTGATGTCACATGCTGAAGATTCCATACCTGTACCAAAACATACGGTGTGGAATCAAGCTGTAATCAAAAAAATAAAATACCACGTCGCGGGGTTCGAACTCAGGACCTTCCGGTTACAAGGCAAGCTGGTTCGTATACCATTCAGACACTGGGACTCGAGTCAATGGCCAGTGCGCATGAATTCGAACTTCTACAAATTAGTGATTTAGCCCGAAGTTAGAATTCATTGGTTGGCCAGTGAATAGTGTCCCAGTGGCTGAATGGTAGATGAGCTTGCTATGTAACCGGAAGGTCTTGGGTTCGAACCCCGCGACGTCGGTGCGTACTGCTGATGATTCCCAAACTAGGCTGATGAAACAGTTGGCTGTCCAGTACTCCCTGGTGGTGGTGGTTTTCAATGGTTCTCTCTAACTGTTATCAATCCGTTATCCACTCGTGAAAACAAATAACAACATTGTACTTCGGCGATCGGGGATGTGTATAAGGAGACTATTTGTCAATCAGTAGATCGCAGATGTCTCATTAAATATGATCTCTTGTTTCTAGTGAGCATATTGGTATGCGGTTGTGAATCCTTGTGCAATAAGATGACTGAACTACAAACATTGAATACAACGACCTCCTGTTTCTAGAATTGTGATTCCAATGAATATAAGATAATGACAACAGAACAAACAAAGAGATGGTTTAAGGTATATGTTTGTGATGTAGGCCATAATAAATACACACATTGTTGAAGATTTTATCCATTCATCAGTTTCTTCAATATTCCCATCGATTTGATTGCTATCAATTTGTATTACAAATTGACATAAGTTAAAGAAAAACTCCAGGGAATACTAGACAGTTGTATTGTCCTTGTTCAGGGGGTTTTTCAACAGTACTCACCAATGGACCCTAACCAACGAGGATCGAACCCAGCACCTTCATGTTACAAAGTGAGCATGTTGACCATTCATTCACTCACTGGAACGAAATCCAATGACTAGCCAATGAATTCTAACTTCTTCCGATTTGTGACATATACCGCGATCGCTAGCCAGTGTTATCAGAGAGTATTTATCTTCACACTTGACTTGTTGCAACCCACTGGTTACAGCTTCTCACTAGAGCTACGGGGTTGACTAAATTGCCTGTGAGAACAGATACTCGCTGGAGACATTGGCTGGCAGTTGGGCTATATATAGCGAAGTGAAAGAAATTAGGATTGGTGAAGTGACATTGGATTTTGCCCCAGTGGTTCAATGGTCAACGAGATCACCGTATAACCTGAAAATCCCGAGTGGGGTCATCAGTGCCTATTACCAAAAAGTCCCAAACAAAAACGAGACAACAACTCCTTGATTTTCAATGATTCTGACATCAGTCAGTTCGTGATCGAGTTCCGTCGATTATCCTAAATACCAAGCATACTATCAATATTTGTATTATCATCAAATAGGTTAAAAGCCATACGAATAAACGAATGTATGAACGAGGAAAACCCGCCAAATTATTACCAACTGCTTCCTGATTGGTCAAAGTCGGGAATTTTAAGAACAAGAACTCCATCTTGATTGGTTTGTTCAAGGTTTACCACCAACCGGAATGTTACACTGACTCTACTACCATTCGCACAAAACTATGAACGACAAGCTGGCGTCACTTGGATATAAGTAGCAAAACCAAGCATTCCTGATATGACAGACTGCATGAGGCAGCATACAATCAGGAAAAATACAATTTTATATGTCTAACTAATAAAGTTTGAAGCCCAGATATGACAATAAATGTAACATTTACAGTTATAGACACTGACAAGAACTCCAAAGTCGTCTAAATAAGTACCTCATAAAAGATTTTACCTATTTTACACATAATTCAATGTCAAATATCTAAAAATTACATTATTTATGCAGTTATGTTAGCATATACCAACACTACAAGAAGCATTGTTGTTAAGGTATGTCATAAAACCACTTTTAAATGAATGATTCTTTAAAAAAATCGCCCAAAAAATACCACCACCAACTACTTCCTGACTGGTCAAAGTTGAGAATTTATAAACAAATCAAAACTGCATCCCAACTGATTTATTCAAGGTTACCACAGCCACCAATTAAACGCCATGGTGACTTTGCATCCAATTTGTACAAAACAAAGGTGTGGACAACTTCGATTACAAAGAGAACACAAAAAAATAACTGAAACAAAAACAATACAAGGAAAACAGTAATAAGCTGATATCGGTTAGAGAAGCATCGGAAAACCAGCACTGAAGTACTTACTGGACAGCTGTTTCTGTTCTCCTAGTGCTTGGAACTCCTCAGCAGTATGCATCCACGACTCAGGGGTCGAACCCACGACCTTCTGGTTACAAGCCGAGCCACCTCGTAGACCACTAAGCTACTGAGACGCGATCCAATGACCATCCCGTGAATTCCAACTTCTGCCTATTCACGATATAGTGAAACTAGCACTAACCAGTGTCCAACTGGTCACGACTTCTCACTAGAACCAGTGGAGAGTACAGCAAGTTGGGTCTGAGGACAAATACTCGCTAACGATGACACTGACTAGTGCTAGTCGCACTATATCGTGATGAATAGGCAGAAGTTGGAATTCACGGGATGGTCATTGGATCGCGTCTCAGTAGCTTAATTGATCTACGAGGTAGCTCACCTTGTAACCAGCCCAGAAGGCTGTGTGGGTTCGACCCATGCGGCGTGGATACATACATATTGATGAGGAGTCCCAAGCACTAGGACGACAGAAACGTCTGTCCAGTAAGTACTCCAGTGCTGGTTTTCCAATGCTTCTGTAACACCAATGTCAGTAGCTCATGATGAAATCCTGAAACCAATCAAATCCCTGTTGCAAATCAACATTTGAAAAGAATTATCTCAAATCTCAAAAAAGGAGGGAAAACTCTTTCTTTTCTATAGAATTTAAGTATGCCATATCAGTGGTAGTAGTAATAGTAGAAATTAGAAATTAAGAGGTGAAGAAGACTTAGAAACTAGTATACCATTTCAGTGTAGATGGATAAGAAATAATAATAAGTGTGTGCAACACATAGGGAAACGTGTATGTTGTGATACATAGATAGACAGACAGACAGACAGAGAGAGTGTAGTGAGAAAGACACTTATATAAAATACACATAAAAAGGTGTTAATATCGAGAACATCAAGAATAGTGAGAGTGCACACTGAGACACAAAAACACACGCAGCCACACACACACACATACATCAATAATGCCTACATGTTACACACACTCGCACACTCACACATACACACACAGAACGCAAGTGTAGTACATACATAAAAACACAGAAATACACTCATACAAAAACGAGCAAAACAGCGTGTGTGTGTGTGTGAGTGAGAAAGAGACACAGAGAGTACCAGAGGTGGTGGACGTGGAGATGACGGTGATGATAATGACCTACCAAATTCACTTGTTTCAGTTTCTGAATTACTTGTAGGATAATCTTCTGTGCATAGAATTTAATTACATGTTTTTCAAAAAAATTAGAATAAAATATACGCATATTTATGGACATATTTAATTGAATTTAATAAACAGAACGTTCAAAGATAAGAATTATTATTATTATCATCATATTATTGTCTCCTTTAGTTCCTTCCTAGCGGAAAATAGGGCTTCAGCCGCACATCTCCATTCCGTTCGGTTCTCCACCAACACTTTCACCTGGCTCAACGTCTGCTCACATGCTTTCATCTCCTCTTCCTTGCACTGACCACCAACTTGCCACTTCCCATTCGGAATACACTCGAACAATGGCCTGGCGTGTCATGTCACTCACTTGATGGTTTGTTTTCTCAGAGTATGGCCAGCTAATCCACCTCCATTTCTTCCTGCATATTTCTCGCACAATTAGTTCCTGCTGGGTTGGTTGGTTCGCTCCCAGAGATCCCTGCTGCTCATCTTTTCTGGCCGGCCACCTGATATCTTGAGTTGTATTAAGAGAAGACAGCTGTTGATGAAATTCTGTAGTTTGTTCAAAGTGCCCTTCGTGACGCAGCGCAGCGCCAAGTCTGTGATCCGTATAGTAGGTGGCACTGACTTCACATTAGAGTTGAAAATCCGGATCTTATTTTTCATACTGAGTGCTGTTGATCTCCACACACACTTGAGAGTAATGAAAGCTTGCCTTGCTTTCCCGATCCCCGCGCTTTGATATCCTCATCAGTTCCATCTGCCTGTAGTTGAAATTATCCTTCCCAGGTAGGTACGTAAAGGAGGTTGCCTCGATCAGATTTCTCCCATGCTTGCTGATTGTTGTCTGTCGTTGTTGTGGCTGTTGTTGTTGACCAGGAATCTTCACCTCTGTTTCCACCTTCTCTATGTTCACCTGAAGTCCTATCTTTGATGCTTCTTCTATCACTAACTTGTTGCTTTTCACTTGCATATCTTCCAGTTTGTGGGAAATCAGACACACATCATCGGTGAAATCCAGATCCTCCAAGTTTTCTTTGTGTGGGTCCATTTTATGCCTGTCTCCTCGTTGGAGATAGTAGGCAGCCAGCTTGTCTTACTGCCATTTTCACTTTGAAGGATTCCACGAGTTTCCCGTTGTGGATTACTTGGCATGCAGCACTATCATACAACTAATGGATGAGGTATATAATTGTTGGTGGCACCCCGTAGTATATAATTAAAGGAAGAAATGAAGGAGGCATTGTAGGCGGCAATTGTGAAGCCAGTTAAAAGTAGTGACGAAGAAACTGAGACACATCGCTGAAGCCTCAATGTTTCCTTTATTCTACGTAGGCAACCGTAACCATAGTGATATGAAGTGTCTACATCATGTCCAGATGGAGGAAGAAGAAATGAGTAGATATGGTACAGGAGTTGGATGTTACAAAGAGAAAATCACTAAATATCATCAATTGGAGAGTCGACAATCTACACCGGTCACCCAGACAACAACAACAAAGATGAGCACACTGAGGGAGTGTTGGCTATTACGATTTCCTCAGTGGTATCAAAGACTCTTGTATAATTGGAGATTATGAAGTGGAGATGGACTGGAAACACGCTGAGGAGACCGTTGAGTAGAGCACCACATGCCAGTTTGGTTATTGAGTAGAACCCGAAAGAGAAGTGATGTGCTCAACGTGGATCCGAAGAGATCATACGAAGAAAACAGTGAAAGCGATTTGAACAGTCTTCGAGTCAGTAGGAAGTGAGTGGAATGTTATACTCAGATCGCAAGGAATCAATAATGATAATAATATACAGTAAACTTGAACTCAACATAAATTAAACAATCCATCAGAAGGCTAAATAAAATGACATTCAACAGGTTGACCGAATCACACTTTAACTCCAATTGTGTGTTTACGAATTCACATCTATGTCCACTGGCAAGTAATTAAGAAGGCAGAATGGAGAGACAGTTATCTAAGAGGATAGTTGAAAACACATGTCCCCAAGAGTTCACGTCTTGCGGGTTCGACTTGGTTTAACACAGCCATTGCTCGACACATGCTTGATTGGTGTAGCACACAAGATCAACACACATCAGTATCTTTTAAGGTAGTGGAATAGACAAAGCACTTCACAGCCAACTTTGAATTAGCAAAACTGTTACTATCCAACTTGAATTAGGTGAGTATTAAGAGACTGGTACTGACTTAATATTACTACTTTGATAAACACTGATTCTTTCAATCTTAACTTATTCAAAAGTTCACATGACTTTTTAATGACGCCAGTATTTCTTTAAAATTTTATCAATTATTGTCATTTTCAAGTATTATTTTATGAGCATTTGATTGATTGGTTACAGGACTTCATCACGGTGAGCTGACAACGGTTACAGGATCATTGGAAAACGACCAGGGAGATACTGGACAGCTGTTTCCTCCGTCCTAGTTTTGAACTCTTCAGTAGTACGCACCCATACCACAGTGGAGTTCGAACCCAGAACTATTCTGGTTACGAGGTGAGCTAGCTCGTAGACCATTAAGCCACTGGGAGCCGATCCAATGACCAGTCCATGAATTTCAACTGCTGCCAATTCACAACATAACGCGACTGGCACTAGCCAATGTCATCGCTGGCGAGTATTTGTCCTTACACCCTATTGGTCACGACTTCCTACTAGAACCTACCTCTGAACAGGGCCAGTCGCTAGTGAGCATCTCATTGATGTTCAAGTAATGGTTTGTAGGGATTTTTGTTTGATTGGTTACATGAGCTGATATCGATTAGAGAACCATTAGAAAACCACCAGGGAGTACTGGACAGCCGTTCCCTCCGGCCTAGTTTAGAACTCTTCAGCAATACCCACACGAACCACGGGGTTCGAATGGTTCTCTAACAGATGCCAGCTCATCATGATGAAATCCTCTTGTAACTAACACCACTTTTTTTGTACTAGTCGTGTTTCACTTTGTTTGAATAGCTATTCACATGATTACATAAACCGCCTCCATTTATTGCATGATGATGAATGCACTTTTCGATTCTAGAACATTCTTCTCTTTTTGCAGTAATAGAGAGATGTTTCTACTTTTCTCATAATTGATTATTTTTATTGTAACATCCGGTATAATTTGTACTTTGTCTCCACTTTCATCACGTTTAATTTTACACTCGTTAACAAAAAACTCCCTTTGGCTATTCACAGTGTAAGTAATTTGAAATTATGTCATATTGATTATTTCATGCATTTTATTATTGCTGTTATTATTATTATTACCATTGCATGGAGGATTTCATCATGAGCTGATATCAGTTAGAGAACCACTGGAAAACATATGAGTACTGGACAGCTGAAGATGAGGCAGTAACTCATCGAAGAAGACATTGCAAAATGGTCGCGCTATGTCGTGAATTGACAGAAGTTAGAATTCAAGGACCATTAGATCGCGTCCCAGTGGCTCAATGGTCTACGAAATCGCCTTGTAACCAGAAGGTCCTGGGTTCGAACCTCGGTGGGTGCGTACTGCTGATGAGTCCCAAACTAATATGAAACGGCTGACTGCCCAGTATCCCCTGTGTTTGTCTTCCAATGGTTCTCTAACCGATGTCAGCTCATGATGAAATCCTCCATGCAAAAACAGCAAACAAATCACTATCAACGGAAGAAATTTGAAAGAGGTTACTTCCTCCACTTATCTAGGAAACCAGCATCATTTCAACTACAGGCAATCCCACGGATGAGGATTTCAAATGCAGAATCGGAAAGGCAGGTCAGACATTCATCACTCTGAAATCAGTTTGGAAATCTTCTCCATTCTGCAGCATAAACAACAAAATTCAGATTTTCAACAGTGTTTAAATATTGGTCAAAGATTTGGAGGGTCACGAAAAGGATTTCCAACAGGCTACTGCAGACTTTTATCAACAGCTTCCAACTTCACTGACTCCATACTGAAGATCAGATGGCCAACCAGAAAGGATTAGCAACAAAGCACTCTGAGAACAAACCAATGAAGAACCTGTTGCTTAAGAAATATTCCTAAGAAAATGGAGGTGGATGGGATATTCTCTGAGGAGACCACTCAGTGAGATGGAGCGTCAGACAAACACACCCAACTGGAACCCGAATGAGAGACAATGGGTTGGGCATCAGAGGATGACATGGAGGAGGAGATGAAAGCCAGCTGGAAAAGGACTCTAGAGCACTGGACAAAATGGAGATGTGCTGTTGAAGCCCTATGCTGCACTAGGAGGAACCTGAGGGAATAACAATAATGATAATAACAAACAACGTAAGAGGAGAGACAGTTTTAAGCCAGTTAATTGTAGAACTCACCTTTAGTGCCTAAATTAAAAGCAGAAATTTTTTCAAAAAAATACTTTACCAACATTATACACTTTCCAGCGGATAGAAATTTGTTATAAATATATAAACATAAATGTTGAAATGAGAATTTGTCTAACGACTGTATAGATGCTGACACAAGTCAACAAAGAATATTCCAGTCGAATTGTGTTCTACACAGATACTCTGAATCTCTTAATCTTAAGAATGATAATCCTTATTTTTCAAGGGATTCCTGTTTTAGTGGTTATCATTTCTGAACGCTATTCATCACATTATCTAGCATTTTTCCGATTACATAAGACTACTCCTCAATTTAGTCATTTTCTTTTGTTTTTTGTATGTTGATACGCGTTTCACCATGGATGGATATCAGTCAGAGAACCATTGAAAACCACCACCAGGGAGTACTGGACAGCTGTTTTATCCTAGTTTGCGAACCATCAGCAGTACACACCCACGTCACGGGGTTCGAGCCCAGGATCTTCCGGTTACAAGGCGAGTTCGCATACCATTCAGTCACTGGGACCCGATTCAATGGCCAGTACATGAATTCTAACTTCTACCAATTCGTGATTTAGTGCGACTGGCACCAACCAATGTCATCGGTGGGAACTCCATCCTCACACTTGACTGGATGGACGTCACTGGTCACTACTTCTCACTAGAACACTAGGAAACTCTGTCCTCTATATGTAATTTTATCAGATGTTTCGTTAACAATCAATATTATTAAATATTTGACCTTTATTGGTGTATGTCATGACCTTTCGGAAACACTGTCTAACTCTACATGAGTATTCTCTACATACATTACATTAGGTGGTTCATTTTGTTTCGGTGGTGGTGGTGGTGTTGGTGGGTAGTGCCAACCAGAAGAACCTAGACTGCACATTTCGTCCCATTTGGTACTCATCAGTCAAAAATGCACCTCAGCATCCCCAGTCAGTGACAATGTTCTAACTGAGACTCTACCATGCATCTGAATCGATGCTTACCGAATTCGAATCTCAGTGGAAAAGCCATCAATGACTGAAGATGCGCAGGGACATCCAGCATACACATTTATTTAACGATACTGGTGAGCGTTTCCAAGGACGAAAGAATTAAGTTCCTAAAGCTACAGACGAAATAACAAGCTCGCAACCACGATTCTGTAGAAAATATAAGCTGCACAAATTTACCACAACCCAAAATCTCATTTCATTTGGAGGTTAGTGGCCTAAAAGATGTTGTTTAAAAGGACACGAAAAACATTCACCAGAGATTTAAAAGTCTATTAGATAGAGGAGAGTAAGAAGGTCAGAAACTATGACACACTAGTTAAAAGACAAATGAGCCACAAAACTACTCAGTAGGATGTAATTAGACTAAGAAAAGAATGAAAATATTTAGTAGTATCGTAAAATACTAATGAAGAATAATTAAACACTTACTATTAGTTTGTCCTGGTGCAGATATAAAGGAAATACACAATTGTACTGAGGTCTTTACAAGTGTATGGATAAGTGAAATATTGAGTGTAAGTGAAATGCAAAAAATACGCTTATTACACTATTTTCACAAGACATTGTGTTTCAAGTCTGATCACGCATTGATGTCAGTGTTAGAGAACTACTGGAAACCAGCTAGGAGTACTAGACAGCTGTTTCGTCCCAGTTTGGGACTCTTCAGCGGGTTTCCAACCCAGGATCTTCCGGTTAAAAGGTGAGCTCGTATATCATTCAGTCACTGACACCCTATTTAATGGCTCATGCACTTTGAATTCTACCAATTCATGAGTTTTATCGCCATCAGCAGCAACGAGTACTTGTCCTCGCTCTCGACCTGCTGGTGGACTCCACTCGTCATAAATTCTCATTAGAACTCCAGGAAACTTCATCCTGTAGCCCGTCATTACGAGCGAGCGTCAGATTAATTGTCAAGAGTTAGTAGGTAGGGATTTGATTTGTTTGAGCACAGATTGACGTCAGTTAAAGAGAGAACCATTGAAAACCAGCAGGAATTACTGGACAACTGTTTCAGTTGTCCTACTTTCGGACACTTCAACAGTGTGTACCCTCCGAGGATTCGAACCCAGAACCTTTCGCTTATAAGGCGGGCTCGTAGACTATTCAGCCAACTGGTACCCGATCCAATGGCTTATAAAATCCTAAACCAGGACGAAACAGCCGTCCACACTCCGTGATCAAACAAACTTGAAATAAATCAGATCTCCACAAAAGCTAACTCATTCAAAAAAGACAATATGTGTTATCAATGAAAGAATCAAAAAGGGGAATACTAAATTTCATTCAAGAAATACATCATGTATGTATGCATGCATGAACTTTGGATTTAAACAAAAAGCTGTTAGACCGCTTTCTGATTTGAATCACTAACTGGACTTTTTGTTTTTATTCCACTGCATTCCGAGTGGAAAGTGAGGCGTCAAGATTTCAAAGTTTCATTCCCAATGATTTTGTCTTTACGGGGTGTGAGGGTGGGGTGGGGATTGCTAGCCTCACACTCAACTTTCACACACACACACACTTTAGGAATAAGTCGGTCGGGGATCGAACCCGAAGTGATTGGTGTGACTTACTGTATGACTGAGTTTCAACAAAAAAACTTTGCACAGAAGTACAGAAGTTCAACTTGCTGCCACACACACTCCATGTATAACACACAAAAGGTAGAGAAAAGATGGGAAACAAGCGATTCAAAACAGCTGTAATGAGCAGAAATGTACGAGAGAAGGAATAGTAACATAAAGAAACATGAGGGTTTAATGAATACAAGGGATTACAGAGAGTGAATGCATCTACGCCACTGAGAACGATTTTGAACCATATCTGCAATAGTCTCCAGCTACTGGTTCTTGAAATCCATCCAAAGGATGTCAACCAGGCAGCTTACCCCCCTCCCTACATGGTTATCTCAAAGATTTCATGGAGTGATCCCAGGTTTTCTCATTTGACCACTCCTAATTCTTTTCCAACCTAATCCTATGTGTCAGCTGACACTGCTTGTCGAGGAAGACGATAGCTTGACATGCGAAACACGTATCCTAACCATCTGAATCAATTGACTTTCTCAACCTTATCGATTAACTTACCCTCCCCTTTCCGAACACTTTACACCTGTTATTATTATATTGTTCCCTTGGGTTCCTAGTGGAACATAGGGCTTCAACTGCACGTCTCCACTTGCTTCTGTCTTCTGCTGTACTTCTCACTTGCATCCATGTTAATCCATACTGTTTCAGTTCCTCATCACACGATCTCCTCCATGTCACCCTTGGACGTCCCACTCGTCGCTTCCCTTTCGGGTTCCACTCGACCAATGGCCTGACGCGCGATGTCACCCAACGGTCTCCTCAGCGAGTGTCCAATCCATTTCCACTTCTTTCTCCTGCATATTTGTTGAGCGATTGGTTCTTGTTTTGTTTGTTCACATAGTTTCTTGTTGGTTCTTCTTCTTTCCGGCCATCTGATCTTCAGTATAGAACGAAGACAGTTGTTGATAAAGGTCTGCAACAGGCTGTTGGAAATATTCTTTGTGACCCGCCAAGTTTCTGATCCGTATAGAAGAACTGACTGACTTGACGTTTTTATTGCTTTCATCTCCTCTTCACATGACCTCCTCCAAGTCACCCTTTCACTGCTAATCTTTTCTGGCCATCTGATCTTGAGTATTGAGCGAAGACAACTGTTAATGAAGGTCTGTAGTTTGTTTGAGATGCTCTTTATGACGCGCAGTGCAAGTCTCTGATCCGTATAATAGCATTGACTGACTTCACATTGGAGTTGAAAATCCGGACCTTATTTTTGACGCTGAATGTTGTTGACCTCCACACACACAAACACACACAGATGGTAGAATTGATCGGCAATTGAATTCTATCGCACTGGCTAGAAGGTCAACGAACTTGCCTTGTAACAGGAAGGCTCTGGATTCAATCAGCACTTGCTGATGAAGAGTCCCAAACATGGACGAGAAGCAGGCGTCCAGTACTCCTGGTTTTCTACACCTCTCCAAATAAACTCAGTTCATCATCAAACTTGTAATCCTGTTTCAGCTAAAATCAGTCTTGTCAAGGAAAGTGGTGTCCAGATATGCATAACATACACTAGACACTTACGTTCATAGATCTTTACTCCTTTATCCAGTGGTTTAACTTAAGATAAGTGTCTAACATCTAATGTAAACACTAATTAACATTTTAAAGTATATCAGAAATGAAAGATATTCAATCAGCAAAAAAGGTACAGACAAAATTACTCTTATAAGAGTAACGAAATAATCAGAGAAACATTGTCAAGCTTTCCATTGACTGGCAACTTTAACTTCTCCATGTATTGTGTCACCATTAGTTTGAGACTGTTGTTCAATGATATGGCTTAAAATCATTCTCAGTCAAAACGCAGATGTATTCATTCTTTGTACTCTCCTATATACATTAAACTCTCATGTTTCTGCATGTTACTATGAAATCCTTGACAGTTAAACTGAGTCAGGTAGGGAGATGCAGACTTCCGGGTTGGGGCCCGCCCTCGGGACTCTAGGAATCAATGGCTGCAGACAATAGGTGGCATGGCTCAAAATCGTTGTCAATGGCGCAGATGTATTTCAGTCTCTGTAATCTTTCATATTCCTTTCTACCATTAATCATTCTGTTTCACTCTTATACTTGTCAAAACTCTATTGATTCCCTTCACTCATCTTCTTGTCTAAATTTGTGTGCTATTTGGAACGTCGCAACTGGAACTGCTGCACTTCTGTGCCAAGTTCTGTGTTGAATCCAGCATGTTACTATTCCTTCTCTAGTACATTTCTGCTCATTACAGCTGTGTTTGAATCGCTTGTTTCCCGTCTTTTCTCTACCTTTTGTGTGTTATACATGGAATGTGTGTGTGGCAGCAAGTTGAACTTCTGTACTTCTGAGCAAAGTTCTACGTTGAAACTCAAACACTGAGTCAGTCAGTCGGTCAGTCAGTCAGTTAGTAGGTGCCCATATAAACATATTTATCAGTGAAACATCGTCTTATCAAATGTTTAAGAACAAGAAAGCTTACAAATAAAAAAGAGAAGAAAAGATTTGTCTGATTGTTTGACAATTTATAACTATGTGACTTACCAGGTAAATCATCCTCAGCATTTGGACAAACTTCTGGCTCTGCAGTGCTTGGCATTTCATCGAAACCGAAACCACTACTACAATAAACATGAGGGAAAAATAAATAAATAAATAAAAAGTATGCAGTGTGAATAATGTCGATTGCAACAGAATAATTGTAAGTTTTTGCATTCCACTAAAGGAGTAATGACGTAACTATCTAAAATGACTGACTGTCATTAGGAAGGCATTGAGCTCATGGAAATGTGTACACAGTTATCATCCACCAGTTGTCCCCATAGTGGAAGTTAAATTCTACTTGGGTTAACTGAAACTGAAACAGCATTGTGAGTGTTGTGTGACTGAAGAGTCCAGGAAACAATTGTTTACGACTGGTTTGAAGTGGTTTTCGGATTTGCATTCATATGAAGATCTAACTAACGGCTGCGGACTGCCGCAAGGTAAGTAAAGATGGATATTTTTTCAGTTTTGAGTTAGCTGCTTATCTGAAGGGGAACACACCTTACTGCTATTACATCCATATTCGTTAGTAGTACAACTTCGTCGTCAGACCTCCAATATGGTGTCAACAACTTACACTACTATAATGGTAACAGCTGTTAGTATGACCACTGTCCAAACGACTTTCTGCAGGAACATTCATTCCAATCAGTATAGATTGTTAAATTATTGTAATGCTGACCACTTCTTTTCTGTGACCAACGTTGATTTTTAATTTACTTAAAGATAAACTGGTGAAAGTTTGAATAAACTTCGAAGACAGCTGTTCATAAAGGTTTGTAACTTGTTCGAATTGTCCTTCGTGATGCCAAGTATCTGTTTCATAAAGTAGCGCTGACTTCACATTGGAGTTGAAAATCCCGATCTTATGTTTCATGATGAGTGCTATTGATCTCCACACACACTTGAGAGTAATAAAAGCTTGCCTTGCTTTCCCGATCCCTGCGCTTTGATATCCTCATCAGCTCTGTCCGCCTGTAGTTGAAAAGATGCTTCCAGGTCGGTCGGTAGGTGAAGCAGGTTGCTTCTTTCAGATTTCTCCCATTTATGCTGGCTGATTGTTATCTGTTGATGTTGGCCATGAATCTTAATCACCTCTGTTTTCTCTATGTTCACCTAAAGGAAGTCCTCTCTTGGATGCTTCTTCTGCCAACTTGTTGATGATGAGTAACTAATAAACTGAGTAACAATACAGTGAGTTCAACTCGAATCATAGAAACAAAAAACAAGCCCATATCCGATAACGTTTCGAGTCACCGATACGAGCTATCTCTCGGACTCCAATCAGGGAGTCGTGATTCACCAAACAATGCCAACCTAACACAAATATCCTTCATCTCACGACTCCACGCCATGGGCTGAATACCTCTCAGCTTTTTCATCCCGTCCGAGGGCTAACGAACAGACAACTGTAAGGAAGCCTCTGGGATGACATTCGCAACACATGTTCCAGATGACGACACTCAACAAATGGTGATCTCGGCTGTGTCCAAACACACGCCACCTGCGAAGTAAGACAGCAGACAATATTTTACACTCAACTGGTAGCAGACTGATACCACTATGGTTGTCACATGTGTTACGTCGACCAGTTTTAAAGATGGGGACGACAATAGCTTCAGCCCACATTGATGGTACATCCTCAGTCTCCCATACCATAGTGAATAATCCAGTTAAAGCCATGACCAGAGTCTAGCTACCATCTTTAAAAAGAACCGGGGATAGATTGTCTGCGCCGGGTGCTTCAAGGCATTTCAGTACTTCGACAATATATATATATATATATATATAGTGCATCTCCAGTGGAAAATAACGATCCATGCTTTCAAGCTGCAGTAACGATAGTGTTGTTGTTATCGGCGAGGTTTGGGAGTGGGTCCACTGGGGATCAAACCCGAACCTCCCACATACACATCTGGCGAGCATCCTACCATTGCACAACTGACGCACTATTATGTGAGGGCTACCACTCATTTGTCCCCAGACTGAGGTATGTGGAGAGGGACTCGAACCTGGGACCCATTGGCTAGAAGCCAAATGCTTAAGCTAATGAATGAGCCACATCTTTAAGCCCTACAATATACAATCAAGATCTTTCTTGTACAATAGTAGAAAAAAAGCACACAGAAAGTTATCATAAGTCATAGTTTCATATGGAAGCATATGAAGAAGAAAAAAAAGAGAATTACACATAGAGCCAATTTATTGGCTAGGTCAGAAATCTAGTGTGCCTGTGTGTAGAACAAGTTTCAACCTGCGATTCATCAGTTAGAAAAAAGAGGCCACTTTAGTATGTATAGTATGAAAAAATATACACGGTATACTAAAATATAAAGAAGTATGACTTTTATAGAAGACAATCCCCTGGTTTGGAGTCATTTTTTTCTTGCCCCTTCTTAAGCAACAAAACCATGTTTCCAGAAAAAAAATATCATCAGTCAAGTTAAATAAGAGTGCAGTCATTGATAAAACTTACCTAGTTGCATCATAGCCAGTATCCGGTGACTGTGAATGTATGGCTAAAATAAAACAATATTGAGACAATGTAATAATAATAATAATATTAATAATGAATATTAATATACAATTAGTAGTCGTAATAGGTAGAACTGTGTTATCGACTACCGTGCATATCGCAATGACCCAACGAGCTATACTGGCCAGAATGAATGTTCCTGCAGATCGGATCGTATCGTAGCATACCAGAAAGGTGGTCTGGATAGCACTGATACTAAAAGCAGTTTTCAGTTATAGTGTATGTAAATCGTTAGACGTCTGTGAGAGAATAGGGAGGTAACACAGCAGTGAGGTGTTCCCCTTAGATGACCAGCAAGTCAGCTATGCTGCCATTACACACTATGAAGATGTCTGTCTGTTTTCGGCATAGAACCTTGCACCGATGTGCAGCAGTTCAAGTCGCCACACTCCATGTAGCACAAAAAGCAAGAGAACAAATGCATAATATAGACAGTAAACAGAGGTGTGAGACAAAGGTATAGTAATAACGAAGAACGAAACAGTTTAACTAGAAATCATAAATCACAAGGAGTGGATGCATCTGCGCCAGCCATTGAGAACGATTTTGAGCCATGTCACCAATTGTTTCCAACCATTGGTTTTTACCGTCCCGAGGACCCCAACCAGGAAGTCTACACCTTCCTACGTGGCTTAGATGTCAAAGTCAGCTAGAATTGAGAAATCAAGACACATCTTCATTCATCTTAAATCGGTGCGGAAATCTGCTGCACTCAGCATAAAGAATAAGATTCAGATTTTCAGCATTAATGTCAAGCTTCTATACTGTTCAAAGCCTTGGCGCGCGCGCGTGTCACGAAAAGCGTTTCCAACAGGCCACTGAAGACTTTTATCAACAGTCGCCTTCGTTCGACACTGAAGATTAGATGACCAGAAAGGTTAAGCAAGCAAGAAAGAACTCTGGCAGGCGACGAACCAATCAAGGACCTACTGCTCAATAAATATGCAGAAGGAAATGAAGACGGATCGGGGACACACTGAGGAGACCGTTGAGTGACATTACGCCCAAGGCAAACCCTCGAGTGGAACCCAAATGGAAAACGACAGGTTGAGCGTCACTTCGACGGTTACTTGGAGGAGATCGTGTGAAGAGGAGTTGAAAACTTATGGACAATTGTAGAGCCAGATGAAGAGGACTGCAAAGAACAGGTCGAAATGCAGATATGCTACTAAAACCCGATGTTCACCTCAGAACCCAAAGGAATAATAATACATGTACTACTGATAGTCATACATTAAGACGATAAACGAAATCATCTACCCTTCACTTTGATATTATAAAACACCACGATAAATGAAAAGGAAGGGAATAGTATTGGTAATTATATTAATAATGGCTGACAAATGGAAGATTATAACTTCCAGTTATTATTATTTTTCTCTTGGGTTCCGAGTGGAAAATAGGACTTCAGCAACACATCTCCACTTTGTTCTACTTTCTGCTGTCCTCTTCATCTGGCTTGATCCACGATTGCCCATAATCTCTCATCTCCTCTTCCAACACACACGATTCTCCTCCATGTCACCCTCGTAACGACGTCCCACTCGTCGCTTCCCATTCGGATTCCATTCAAATGATGGTCTGGTTAGCACACGGTGTCATTAGACGGCCTCCTCATGAATATTTGTTGAGCAATCGGCACTCGCTTGTTGGTTTGTTGCCAGCCAGAGTTTCCTGGTGCTAATTCTTTCTGGATAGCCGGCCGGCCAGCCATTTGATCTTCAGTATGGAGCCAGCTATGGATAAAAGTCTGCAACAGAATGTTGAAAATCCTTTTCGTGACACGCTGGCTAACTTTCTGACCCGCATAGAAGGACTGACTGACTGACTACACGTTTGTGTTGAAAATCCGAATCTTCTTCTTTACGATGGCTGGGAGAAGCAGAAGATTTCCAAACTGGTTTCAGGTTGATGAAGGCGTATCTTGCCTTTCTGATTCTGACTGGCTGGCCGTTCGACTGTCTGTAGGTAGAAACCGTGCTTCCTAGCTAGATAAGTGAAGCCAAGAAGTAACCTCTGTCAAATCTCTCCCATTGATGGCGATAGGTGCTGGATGTTGTTACCGTTGCTATTGGTTGGTTGGTTGGTTATCTTCATCACCTCCGTTCACCTCGAGTTTTGTCTTCGCTGCCAGCCAGCCAGCCTCTTCTGAGACAGTTTGTTGGTTTTCGTCTGCAAGTCATTTACTGCAGAATTAAGCATAAGATTGATTGTGTACTTGCATGATACATGAACATCTTTTCTTTTTTTTTAAACTGCTTTCCTACACTGATACATATATTCTTGCTTAAACATGTACAAGACATTTCTAAGGTGAAAAAAAAAGTGAACCACGCCAATACTGTTTAACAACAGCTAACACAACAGATATCTTAATTAACCACCCATTTGTTGAATCAATTAATAATATATGGCATGGATGGAAAATATAACATGCTTACTTAAGAGATGTGGTAGTATATAACTACACTGGGATTGGTGACGAAATCACAGCACTGATCCAGAAAGCTCGGGCTGCTTTCGCTAACTTACACCATCTCTGGCGTAGGCGTGACATCCGGCTGTCAACCAAGGGACGTGTATACTGCTCATCAGTTCGCTCCGTCCTTCTCTATGGCGGTGAGACGTGGCCATTGAGAGCTGAAGACATGAAGAGATTGTCTTTTTTTGACCACAGATGTTTACGATCTCTCTCTCTCACGTTAGGTGGTATAATAAGGTAAGTAATGTTGACGTTAGGTGTAGAGTATTGGGCAAAGAGGGAAAATCACTCGAAGAGGCTATGAAGTTACATAGATTGAGATGGTTAGGCCACGTGCTGCGCATGCCTGACCATCGTCTCCCCCGACGGGCATTACTAGCTGATATAGGTGCAGGTTGGAAAAGAGTAAGTGGTGGCCAAACAAAAACGTGGCATCAACTCATGGAATCCCTGACAGTTAAACTGAGTCAGGTAGGGAGGGAGATGCAGACTTCCGGGTTGGGGCCCTCGGGACTCTAAGAATCAATGGCTGGAGACAATAGGTGACATGGCTCAAAATCGTTGTCAATGGCGCAGATGTATTCAGTCTCTTTAACCTTCATATTCCTTTCTACCATTACTCATTCTGTTTCACTCTTATACTTATCTAAATTCTATTGATTCTCTTCTCTCCTTTTCCTGTCTACCTTTGTGTGCTATTTGGAACGTGGCAACTCGAACTGCTGCACTTCAGTACCAAGTTCTATGTTGAATCCAGACAGACAGACAGAAGCATAGTAAAACCAGTGGAAATCATGAAGGAGGATTGAACTTGAGAACTCATCAACTGTGAATACTTACAACTATGGCGGCGGGGGGGGGATGGGAGAATCGAATTCAGTGCAGTCATTTTATCAGGGAGAGAAATCAACCTTGTTAATAATCAAATACTTACGAAACCAAAAAACAATCGAATTTTAAGTGGCTATCCACTGGTGATGATTTGCAAAAATGGAAAATGGGAACTTTTTCTTCTTATAGTTACAATTTCACCTATTTGTAGCCGTGCAGCATAGTGTGTTTCTGTATGCTTTTTGTGAGAACCGTAGATCACTGGATTTCAATCCAGAAGTTAAGCGGTGACACTCTTGTCACATGACCCGATAATTTTGGATTCACTTCCCATCCCCCATCTCCCTAAGAAAAAGGTCATGAATTTACACTACCAAGCAATCGAAAACTACAGCAAAAATGAGCTGTTCAGATCTTTCTGGTTTCATTGATTCTTTCAGTTGAGCTTGATTTGTAACCTGACACCTAGTGCGTAAGTGTTCACGGGTGCCTTTCGCTGTAGAGTTACAAATATGGGACAAAACAGCTATCCAGTACTCCCTGGATTTTGGTGGTACAATAACTGAAGTCAATTTGTGATCAATCTTGAGATCGATCAAATCCCTGCAAACCAACAGTTCAAAAAATCAATAATAATCTACCATCACCACTACAATACCATTTCAAAGAGTCATCGTGGGCGGCATATTCCTTAGGTGCGGTCAGTAGATCAGTGGTAGAATACTCACCAACCATGCATTTGGCCCAAATCCAACTACCGGCTGACTCACTTGTAAGCCTCTCTTAGCTGGTAGTAGCAAGTTCAGTAAAGAAGAGAGGTTAGACGTGAGGCGACCAACCTCATTCCAGTAAAAAAGCAAAGCCACAGCTATTGAAAGTGCATAGCTGACAGCTTGAAGCCCTCTGTTCCACTATTATATTATTATTATTATTATTGTCTCCTTTAGTTCCTAGGGGAACATAGGGCTTCAGCCGCAAGTCTCCATTGCGTTCGGTTCTCCACCAACGTCTCCACCTGGTTCCATGTCTCCCCACATGCTTTTATCTCCTTTTCGTATCACCTCCTCCTCCCCCATGTCACCCTCGCACTGACCACCAACTCGCCGCTTCCCATTCGCTCGGGTTCCTGGCGTGTCATTTCACTCAATTGATGGTTTGTTTTCAGAGTATGGCCAATTCACCTCCATTTCTTCCTGAATATTTGTTGCACAATTCCTTCCTGCTGGGTTGGTTCATTCCCGGAGATCCCTATTTCTGATCTCTTTTGGTCATCTGATCTTGAGTAGTGAGCAAAAACAGCTGTTGATGAAGGTCTGTGCCCTTCGTGACGAAGCGCCAAGTCTCTCATCCGAATAGTAGGACTGACTTTACATTGGAGTTGAAAATCCGGATCTTATGTTTCATGATCAGTACTGTTGATCTCCACACACACTTGAGAGTAATGAAAGCTTGTCTTGCCTTCTCGATCTTCGCTTTGATATCTTCATCAGTTCCGTCCGCCTGTAGTTGGAACGATGCTTCCTAGGTCGGTCCAACTCTATCAGCACTATGAGTATTACAAAATTGTCCTGTCATTAACCATCATGTAATATTAGTTTTGTGGCTGTTTTTTCTTATTTTCTATACTTTTCGGCAATATTAAACTGACAATCATTGGTTGTGAACGCCATAGTCACCACCTTAAAAAATTTTGTATTATTTAGGATTACTCACACTACCACCACAAACACTGCATTAGACTTTGGTAGACTTTTGTACTTTTTCGCATTTATAATTATTTTGTGTTTATACTGTTTTTTTTTGCTGTTGGTGTCTTCAGATTTATTTTGTTTGTTTGTTTAATACTTATTTTAAATGTCTGTAAAATTAGATGCAAATATTGTAGATATGTGCTGAAAATTCCACACTGTACCACTAGTACTGTTTCTGGAATAAAGCAAATTATTATTATTATTAAAGCAGGTTGCCTCAATCAGATTTCTCCCATTTATACTGATTATCGTCTGTTGTTGTTGTTGCTGTTGGCCAGGAATCTTCATCATCTACCTGTGTTTTCCCTATGTTCACCTGAAGGAGGTCCTATCTACGATACTCTTTTTGCCATAATTCCTTGCTTTCCACTTACATATCTTCCAGTTTGTGGGAAATCAGATATATATATCATCGGTGAAATCCAAATCCTTCAAGTGTTTTTTTGTATGGGTCCATTCTATATCTGTCTCCTTGATGCCTACAGTCTGTCGCATTATCCAGTAGTCTACCGCCCACAATCAGGAAAATCATTGGAGATAATAGGTCACAAAAGAAAAGAGTGGAAAACTTTCCTTGTTCCTTTAAAATAGCTTTCATAAAAACAGTCCATGGAATATATTTACTTAGAATTCAACCATTAAGATTTCTTAACTTACAATTAAAATAAGATAAAATTAAAGAAAACATCGATAATAACAACAACAACACTCATTGAAGACTTACACGTCTCCCTCGATCCGATTAAATGATGCGGTGAAGAAGTGATTGATAATCTATGCATAGCATTTTTACTATGATTGTTAGGCGTAGAAGCACCAGCACCAGCACCACCACCACCAGTACCAGAACCAATGATGGCATTATGCTGTTGATTAACAAATTTGATTTGTTCTGTCAATTCAACATTAGAACGTATTAATTCATTTAAGCGTTCATGCAGCCGATTCTCCTCCTTTTTCCATTCTTGTTCTTTAGCTTCTAAGCGTGATACTGAATGTTTGTGTATATGAGAGAAAATTTGTTTTTTTTTAAAAAAAAAAAGGTTAATGGCAATAATAATAATAATAACAGAAACAGTCAAAAACTAACAATTTTGAATGTTAGATTTTAGGGATTCGATTCACTTCAAGTTAAATCTAACAATGCAGTTAATTTCATAATTTGAAGGTCCTGAATCCCACCTCGGTGGGGTAATCAATGCGTATTGCTGAAGAGCCCACACATCTAGGCGGAAACAACTATCCAGCACTTAGTTTTTTTCCAAGTGATCCTCTCACTGATGTCGATGTTGCTTGTAGGTCTACTGAGAAGTCGTGATCAGTGGGGTCGATCAAGTCTGGTAGCTTTGCCTGGCGGTGGTGCTACATATTTCACGGATTGGTAGGAGTTGAGATTTACGGGTTGGGTACTGGCTTCCGTCCTGGAGGTTTAATAGACAATGGGCTCAACTGTTGACTTGAAAGTCCTGAGGTTCGATCTCAATTGGGTGAGGTAGTGGGTGTATCCTGCTGAAGAGTCCCACACTGGAACAAAATGACTATTCAGTACTCCCTTGATTCCATTGGTTCTGTAAATGAGGTCAGTTCGTGATAAACCTAGAAATCAATTAAATCCCTGCACACCAACACTAGGAAATTAATCTGATACCCACTAGTGCTCGTAGTTGTAGTAAGACGTCGTAACCAGTGAGGTTTGACCAAGTCGCGTTTGAAAACAAATACTCGCAGGTGACTTTGGCTGGTGTTGACACCATATATAGACCGTTGGATTCCTTCCCAACAGCAGAATGGTCAATAGGCTCATTTTGTAACCTGAAGGTTTTGGGTTCCATCCGGGATGGATGAGGTGATAAGTGCGTGCCATTGAAGAGTCCCAAATTGGAACAAGACAGCTGTCCAGAACCTCCTGGATTTCTGTAGTTCTCACACTCAAAACCTTCTCCATAAGAAACTAATTGTCTACACTGAGATGTTATCGAAGCTACATTCTACTTGGATATTGTCTCACATAGCATTGCTTGTTAGGACCTATTTCCTTAATACTTACTTTACTTCGGCCATCTCCTACGGGAGGATGAGCCGGCTTCATGGACATCTCGAATCGTTTGTAAGAGAGTTCATGAAGTTTCATGGGAATTTGGTACGAGTGATGTCCCCAGAATCGCTCGGCCTTTTGTTTGAGAGTGCAGCTCTAGCCTTTACACAACCAAGTGTGACCTACAAGGCAGTAGGAGTGGAGTAGGGAGTCCACTATCCATTGGCAGCCGGTGACCGGAGTTCGGTTCATACGCCTTTTTCAATGGGGCCAGACATCCAGGACATCCAACAAGCCCTTTGTCCATACGTCTGCCGGTGAGCTCCAGTGAGCTTCATACGCCAGTCGTTGGAGGTTTGGAATCAGGGTTTAGCCATCTCCCCTAGACTGTCATCCAATGGACAGTCAACCCGGTGAAGAGAGCCGGGCATCCGCTTTCGCCCTCTCACTTTGGTGAAAAACACCTCCGCCACGTGAAGGCAGTGAGTCGGACTTCCTGAGGAGAGGCTATGTAAGACGCCCGGTCATATGGGAGCATTTCAAGAGGTGTGCGGAGGGGTGGCCAACCCGCAGCGCAAGGCACCCACCCCCGACCATCCTGAGGCTTTGGAGGCCTTGGGTTAGAATGTTTGACAAGTACCATTTAATGCTAATATTTTATTTCTTACATTTATTCCCCTTAATGAATTTGAACAAAGCAAGAACTAAAAACTGTAGTTCTTGCTAATATCTTAAGTGCATTTTTTTCGCCTTTGCCACCTAACACTGTTCAAGGTCGTTAGGATGACTTTCAGTCAACCTAGGTTTAAACAGCTTTTACTCCATAACATATTCGCAGCTCATCGATCATTTCAGATATGTCTAAAGAAATCTGGTGTCTTTCCTGGTCTTATCCTGTGATTTATCAACTATCCGCATTAATTAAAGTTGTTTTGGTGGATGATGACTAGCATTGGAATCTAAGATGAGCATTTCGTCCTATTTGGGACTCTTCAGGCGGATATACTTGCATTCCCCAGTGAACGATGATGTTCCCGCAGGGACTCGAATCCAGTACCCACTGTTTCAAACGCTTAGGCGTTATCGACTAGACCAATTAGGACACGAGAGCCGCCTTCTGTACAACAGGTATCAGTTATTATTTGTCCTTAATTCAGTTTTGATTCTCCTGTTGATTCATTGAACCGAGATGTTCGGCCTCTGTTGACATGTCAGCAGCTCCAAGTACGGACACATTGACGACGTCTGAGGACTAACTTGCTGTAGTTCGATGGATGGTGACTAGCAAGTAGAGTCCAGGATGAGCATCTAGTCTCATTTAGGACCTGCATTCCCCCAGTTAGTGATGGTATTCCTGCAGAGACTCGGACGCAGTACCCATCACCGAACAGGAAAATCAAAATTGAAGTTAAAACGAAAGGCCTTAACTACTGTTTCTATAGTGAACAAAAACATGATGCCAGGATTCTCCAGGATAAGTATCGCCGTACTGCTACTCACCCACTCTCAGTGTGTGTGTGTGTATGTGGTTAACTCCTTCGTTAGTACACGCCAAAACCGATATTTTCATCGACGAAACTTGACATATAGATACTGGCTACCGCTTCTTTTTCTAAATTTCTTTTTTATTTACGTCTATTTTAGTCATAGGCATAGATTTGCTTGAATTAATGGAGATAATCAAAGAAGGGCGACTTAGGACTCTGCAAGAACTGGTGAGGAATCATGCTCCTGTCGACGCCAAGAAAAATCCTGAGTCGCATCATCCTGGAGAGAATAAAGGACGTACTGGATACAGAACTCCGACCAGAACAAGCTGGATTCAGGAAAGGCGAATCATGTTCTAACCAAATTGCAACTCTACGTGTCATCATCGAACAAAGCATGGAATGGCAATCAAAACTCTACCTCAACTTAATAGACTTTGAGAAGGCCTTCGACAGCGTGGACCGCGAAGTAATTTGGAAACTACTCAAGTACTACGGCATACCCCAAATATTCATCAACCTTATTCAACAACTGTACGACAACGGCACATTTCAAGTGATCCACAACGGAAAACTCAGCGAAGCGTTTAGAGTAAACACAGGAGTCAGACAAGGGTGCTTATTATCACCAATGATATTCCTAATTGTGGTGGACTGGATTATGCGTCAGACAGTGGGAAACGAGAAGACAGGGATATCCTGGACCGACGTGAAGAACCTACAAGACCTGGATTTCGCGCGTGGATGATTTATGTTTGATGTCACACAAAATCGAAGACTCACAAGCGAAAACCGACAAACTGGTCGAAGAAGCAGCCAGAGAAGACAGGACTCCAGGTGAACATAGACAAGACGGAGGTTATGAAAATAACCAACCAACAACAACAACAGCAGCAACATCCAGCGCCAATCACCATCAACGGGAGGAATTTGAAAGAGGTTACCTCATTCACTTATCTAGGGAGCATTGTCTCAACTACAGGAGGAACGGACGAAAATGTCAAATCGAGAATCGGAAAGGCGAAAAACACATTCATCAACCTGAAACCAATCTGGAAATCTTCGTCACTCAACTCAGCATCAACAACAAAATTCGGATTTTCAATACAAACGTCAAGTCAGCTCTTCTATAGGGATCAGAAACTTGGCGAGTCACAAAGAATATTTCCAACAGCCTGTTGCAGACCTTTATCAACAGCTGTCTTCGCTCTATACTGAAGATCAGATGGCCGGAAAGAATCACCAACAAGAAGCTATGGGAACAAACAAAACAAGAACCAATCGCCCAACAAATATGCAGGAGAAAGTGGAGATGGATTGGACACTCGCTAAGGAGGCCGCTGGGTGACATCGCGCGTCAGGCCATCGCTCGAGTGGAACCCGAAAGGGAAGCGACGAGTGGGACTTCCAAGGGTGACATGGAGGAGATCGTGTGAAGAGGAGTTGAAACAGTATGGACTAATATGGATGCAAGTGAAAAGTACAGCAGAAGACAGAAGCAAGTGGAGACGTGTAGTTGAAGCCCTATGTTCCACTAGGAACCCAAGGGAACAATAGTATTAATAATAATAATGGTGATAATCAGAATCCAACGTAAGATGTTCCAAACGAAGCGAGATAATCTTTCCACTGCTTGTAAAAGTATACACTACACGGTAAACTGAGAATACAATACTTAATTAATTAGGAGTGAAATATTCAGTCTTCACATACTGACTTCCTCCTCCTTTACTTGAGTACACTTCCGGCCTACATTCACTATCACATGTGTTTGCGTGTGTGTGTGTGTGTACGTGGGGGTGGGGGTGGGTGGGTATGTGTACTGTAGAAAGTAATGCATTTATTCCAATGTATAAATATAAATGGCCAACACTGTCTAAATAACATATGATTATAGATTTACATATTGTTTTGAACAATACTCACAAGTGAATAACTGATTACCTATTTATTCTTTTACAGGTACACAGACACACACATGTTTTATGCATTTAATAATAATATATACAATGTATTTTGTTTTTTTATTTCTGATCAAAAATTCTATTTACACATAAGTGTCAAATACACTTTCATACATTGCCTCTTTCACTATGTCACATCTTAGTATTAGAATGATTACCTCGAATAGATTATAATGTATAACCAGAGTAGTGTAATGATTCGACTAAACAGATTTATTTCTTATGGTTGGTTTGTAAGGATTAGTTTTGTTTTTACGAGTTTGACCACGGATTGATATCAGTTAGAGAGTACTGCTGTTTCATCCTAGTTTAGGAATCATAGGAAGTACGCACCCACCCCCGCCGGTGTTCGAACCTAGGACCTTTCGGTTACAATGCAAGCTGGTTCGTATACCATTCAGCCACTGGAACTCGATTCAATGGCCAGTGCATGAATTCTAACTTCTATCTGATGGTCACTAGTGACTTGTTACAGGACGGAGTTCCCTGAAGTTCTAGTGAGAAGTCGTGACCAGTGAGGTCCGTTCAGTCAAATGTGAGGATGGATGTCCTACCGATGACATTAGCTGGTGCCAGTCGCGCTAAATCACAAATTATTAGAAGTTAGAATCCACGCGTTGGTCCCAGTGGCTGAACGATATAAGAACTTACCTTGTAACCGGAAGGTCCTGGGTTCGAACCCCATGGTGTGAGTGCGTACTGCCGATGGTTCCCAAACTCAGCTGACGATACAGCTGTCCAGTACTCCCTGGTGGTGGTTTTCAATGGTCCTCTCTAACTGATATCAATCCGTGATCAACTCGTATAAACAGACTTAATCGACCCACAGTTACTCTCCGATGTGGTCGAAGGTTCGATTCCCAGCCGATGGACTCTTAAACCTTGTTTAACCGGCAGTAAGTCGAGTAAACAGGAAAGATGGAGTATGTAGGGTTAGCAACCCGGCCACGTAAAGGAAAAACAAAACACTACTACTACCGTAACTTTAAAGCTCAAGTTTCAAGCTACATGTTCCACTGGGAACGCGAAGGAATAGAAGCAAATATTTACTCTGAGTAGATAAAAGAATACACTAGCTAGCGCACAGGTTAAGCTTCAATTGATTATCTGCTGGCTGGCTGGATTCAACATAGAACTCGGCACCGAAGTGCAGCAGTTGGAGTTGCCACGTTCCAAAATAACACACAAACGTAGACAAGAAGATGAGTGAAGAAAATCAATAGAGTTTTGACAAGTATAAGAGTGAAACAGAATGAGTAATGGTAGAAAGGAGTATGAAAGTTTACAGAGACTGAATACATCTGCGTAAGCCATTGACAACGATTTTGAGCCATGTCACCTATTGTCTCCAGCCATTGATTCTTAGAGTCCTGAGGGCGGGCCCCAACCCGGAAGTCTGCATCTCCCTACCTACCTGACTCAGTTTAACTGTTAAGGATTTCATGGATTGATGAGGCCATGTTTTTGTTTGGCCACCACTTACTCTTTTCCAACCTGCACCTACCTATATCAGCTAGTAATGCCCGTCCGTCGGGGGAGGCGATGGTTAGGCATGCGCGGCACGTGACCTAGCCATCTCAATCTATGTAACTTTATAGCCTCTTTGATTGATTTTCCCTCTTTACCCAACACTCTACGCCTAACGTCAACATTACTTACTTTATTATACCACCTAACGTGAGAAAGAGATCGTAAACATCTGTGGTCAAAAACAGTCAACCTTTTCATGTCTTTCCGCTCTCAATGGCCATGTCTCACCACCATAGAGGACGGAGCGAACTGCTGAGCAGTACACACGTCCCTTGGTTGATAGCCGGATGTCACGCCTACGCCAGAGACGGTGTAAGTTAGCGAAAGCAGCCCGAGCTTTTTGGATCCGTGTTGAGATTTCGTCACCAATCAATCCGTTGGTCAATTGGTTATCAATTACTTTTAAATGTTTTCAAACCAGAGTACTCGTCAAAATAGTTATCACTTGAATGCATAATATGGTCATTAGGGTTACTGACAGTATTAGTGAACTGAAGACCTGACTAACTTAAATCTCACGTTAATTTTTATCTAATGAGTCAGTGACTTTCGAAAAAGGGGAATTTCTCACTAAAACAACTTAAATTATGATATAATTCTTGTAGGATTAATTGACGGTTGTGTATCCCTGGTTTAGTGGCAGAATGCTTGCCAGTCACACAGGTGGGAAGGACAGATTCGAGTCTTAGTCGACGCACTCTCAAACCTCGTCTACTTTGCCACTAGACGGTAGTAAGCTTGGAAAAGAGGGGAGTTTATGTGTGAGGCTAGCAACCCCAACTCGTAGAAAAAACACCACGCTGATCACAATCCACAGCTTACAGCCGTCTATTCAGAAGGTAGACAACAAAAAATGAAAAATAAAATATCCTGTTGCAAGATGAGAAACTATTTGCTGATTAGAGGTTAGTTGTTCTAAAGTGTACGTCGCACGCTTCGTCGTAGTTTGGGATTCTTCATCAGTTCGAACTCAGGACCTCGTAAACCATTCATCCACTGGGTCCTAAATCCCTAGCACCTCCGGGTAGGCTCAAACCAGAGGGAAGGTTGAGCATGAGGCTAGCAACCCCATCCCGTAAAACTAAACACAGCTACCGACACTTTACAACCCTAGCTTGAAGCCCTATGTTTCACTTGGAAAGTAAAGGAATAAAAAAGAAAGTATGTTGCATGTTCGAATCTTTGACGGAAAATAAATCCGCTTAAAGTTGTAAATTGGCTTTTAGACAGAGGGTGGCAGGAGTAAAGTGTGGGTTTATACATTAAAGGCACCACCAACCAACCAGCAATGTATTTAATATTCATTTTCAATAATCTATAGGTACTGTGAAAATAGAGAATTTGAAATACTTCATCAACTAGAGCAGCATTGATCCCGACAACAAGGGTAAGTTAGGAGGAGCTCTAAATTGGTCATGTTTCTGATTTTCAATGTAAAGCATTTATGCGAGTGAAGGGTACTCGGGTTCAAACACTGGAACACTGATGTCATAGATTTCTCTTTATTTTGTGAAATCTAACTCTTCCGAAAGTTATTTCGCCCTCACACATTAATTGCCTATATTCTTCTTCCATCCCTTTCCGTTCCGAGTGGGGCTTCCAGCTTGAGCTTCGAAATTTCCATAGCAGTAGTGCATCTGGTTTTACAAGATGGAGTCGCTAGCTTCAAGTGTAACTTTCCCTTTTTTCCTGAATTACTTCCAGCTAGTAAACTAGGCCACATTTTTAGGAGTGTAATGGCTAGGAATCGAACCCTGCCCACATATATGATTGGTAGTAGACTGATACTATAGAATAAGAAATCGAAATTGTAAACACGTTCATTCCACAATCAACGTTGATATGATTGAATAAATTAATAACGCTCTTCAAAACTACTAAGCTGCATCTGCTCAGTAGTTTTGACGCTACTGTTAATCACAGAAGATAGTGATAAATACAACTAGCATTACTACTAACAATAATAGTCTGGGTCGGGATACTGATAAGATTTTGTAAGTAGTATATTCTGTGTGTTATGCTGTCTGCAAGAATACTGAATAGCGGAGCAACGGATTAAATTAGAAAGAGGAGAAATGAAAGATCCTTCTGAAACACTGTAGAAAGCCAGAAACTAAGACGAAAAATGCACAACAATACGAAGAACATGTGTCAATGGAGGTCTCATTGTACGGTATATGCATTTAGCCAAATAAACAATCTGTTATCAAACACTACCGTGTTCTATCGTCACAATAGCAGTAATAATAATAATCGTGACTTCTACAGTACTAGATGATTCCATTGATTATTTCCCAAACAAATTTGGATAAGCATATCATTAACGATAATACCACTTTATTCTGATATAAAAAGCGATTATTGAAATATTATCACTAGTTTATCGCATTTCAATTAACCACTAATCATTGGACCGTCCTTTATTTTGAATTAACAGTTATAATAATATGAGGAAACCAATTAGTGAGCTATAAGCCAGAAGCTTGAAGAATAAGGTTAGTTAATCAATGCATCTATGGACTTGAAATGGTTGGGATGAAAAGTATTTTTCGAGTTACAACCCTTGTTACAACTTTTGTTACGGCAGTTCCCTTTCAAAATTTTTTTCGCTTTTCAAGTGGAACATAAGGCTAAAATCGTTGCCTCACGCCCAACTTCGCCCCTTTCCTGGGACTACTACTACCTAGTACAATAAATGAGATTTGGAACTGGGTCGATGGGGAATCAACATCGGAACTCCTGAGCAGCCGGTCAGCATTCTACTACTATACCGATGATGCAGGACAGTTATTAAAACTACCAAAATATCACTAGAATGAAAAAAGGTCGGAAAATAATCCATCCTACCAATCATAACATGATACCAAGGCATAAACCTACCGGTACCTAAATTAGTTAACAGTACTAGTGGAATCAGTTGTTGACGCATGGAAAATATACATAATAATCATAATAATAATAGCTAACATTTAGTGAACTAAGCTAAGCTGAAAGCTAAACTAACCACTGTCCAATAGTTTTGAACGCTTAAAAGTGTCTGTTGAAATCCTGTTCACGCACACACACACACACACGCAAAAAACAGGCAACAAAAGAATAAACAAACAAACCTTGATCTTTAGCCAATTGTAGCTTCAATTCAATCTGTCGACAAGATGAAGATAAAGCTTCATTTTTGGCATCATTTGCTTTCCTTTCTTCATCAAAGGTATCTTCAGTTTGTAGTAGACGCTAAATTAATAGCAGTAGAGAAAGAAATTTTGAAATTATATTTGTATAGATATTTGTATCGTTGAAAAGTACTCATACAAAAAGCTGAATAAAAAGAAATATCAATGGTAATACAAGAAACTTAGTACGGTATTTAAAAGTTACTACACTTTTCTAATTAATTATCAGCAATTAAGCGTTAAGCATAGTTGATATTACACAAATAATTTTTTTCCAATCTTTCAGGCTGAAACTTTGCGTCATTGCTTGTCTGTTAATGACTTTTGAAGAAAACATCACACTCTTTGCTACATACAAATTATTACCAACAAAATCGTTCTCAATGCCTGGCGCAGATGCATCCATTCCTTGTGACTTATGATTTCCAATTAAACTGTTTTGTTCTTCGTTATTACTATTCCTTTGTCTCACACCTCTGTTTACTGTCTCTGATATGCATTTCTCCTACTTTCTTCTCTTGCTTTGTGGGCTACATGAAAGGAGTGTGGCGACTTGAACTGCCGCACATATGTGCAAAGTTCTATCTCGAAAACAGACAGACAGACAGACCAACAACATACATCATGTGATGGCAATTTATAAAGTTATCCTAAAGATTAAAGTTGTACTCTTAGTGTTTAAGAAAGAAATAGTGTTTCCCCTATATGATAATGTAAACTATGTGAGACAAAGATATCAGAAAGGTTAACTACAACTGGAAGTATATCTATGGTACACTAAATCTAATCAAATGTTCAAATTTCAACTAGGCAAGAAACATCAAATTCGTAGCATAAAATAACATCATTTTATTTTGATGCTTTCATCAACTGCAGACCATTTGAAATTACAATCATCACAAAAGAACGCAAATTTCATACTTTATTGCCAGAGTGATGGCAGAGAAAAGTTTCCGCGTAATGTAGACATTACAATGTTTATAGTTTAAGTCATCATTTACTTTTATGTACTTCAAATTAGAAAACGGAGAGGAGAAGACAGAAAACATACGAAAAATATTAACAGTATTAGCTTATAAAGTAACTAAACATCTCAAGAAAATTATAGTTCATACGACTGAAATCAACTTCGTGAGCTGAAATTCTTCATATAGATGAATAATAATGTAATCAAAATTCAGAATTCAGCTATCAAGGAAGTGAGAGATTAATCCTACCCTGTTTTTGTATGCATAAGTTCGGTTTGGAAGTAATTTTAAACTACAAATTCTGTCTCTCTTGATTTATCGTGAATTTTTTAAGATAACTATGTGTATACTTGAGTAATATTTCTATACGTTGAATTGTATGAACCAAGTTTTTCAGATAAACAACTATGCAATAAATACGTGAATCAGTTGCAAGTCTGAGATCTTTCTGTGAATCATGCATATAAATTTTGTCTAAATAGAAAAGTCCATAATCGATGCTTGAATTTCGAAATTGCTAACAAGATGGTATATTATTCTTTGAAAGAACTTTATTGAGAAATACATTAACTAGTGGAAATTATTAAGACCTCTAGAGAAAAATAATACTATTTTCGATATTACTGGTATTCCCAATATAATCGTAACACTAAGTACTGACTTACATATGATACATTATATCTAAACTACAAGATTTCACTATATTAATAGTGCTAGTAAAAAATATAACAGTAGACAGTAAGGTTAACCCATTATATTGAAATTAGCTCTAACCAATTTAAGCGTATATGTATACATAGTTAATTTTATTAAATAATTTCTTAAGAAATGACTTACTAGTTCAGCCTGTTTTCGAGCAGCCTTCTCGGCAGCTAGTTGATCACAGATGTGTACATTTTCTTCTCTTAGTTGTCCCACTTCAGCATGGTATGCAGCTTGATCCTTATACAATTCATCCAAGTTTTCCAACAGACCAATTATTAATGGCATTAACCGTTCAACAACTGGTAATCCATAAGCTTCAATCATCGTTTCAAACTCTCGATAGATCCCAGATGCTATGCGTTGGACTCGTTCCGACATGACCATCGACATAGATGAATTACTATCGAGATCACTGAAATTTGCAGAGGATAGGTAGACATCATCAATGTCTCCAAAAGAGGGCGTTAGATCAAAAAGTTTTCTTTTATCCAATCCATTCTCTCCATTTGTAATATCATGTGATATCGCTGCGTTTGACTGATAAGACATATTAATCCAAAAAAACTTAAAATTAACAGCTGGGGATCAGATATTCCAATTCGTTAAGTGTGGATATATGATAGCAAATAGCTTGCTTTACTTGCTAGAGGAGAAAATTCAACGGAGAAACGTGTAAAGAAGTTATACAACAAACTAAGATGAAAAACTGTAGTCGCGAAGGTGAAAAATCTACGAGAAAATCTTTCCAATGTAGACAATCTTTAACTAGAGATGACAGAGTAACAAACACATCAGTGGCACAGTGATTACGACGCTCGCCGACCATGCACATGGTCCGGGGTTCGATCCCCGGCCGAAGCACACTTGACATCAGTGGTCGGCCTGCTAAATTTGGGCTACCGATATCACATGCTGAAAATCCCATACTTGTATGAAAAATACCGTGTGGTCAAGCTATAATAAAATATAAAATAAAAAGCAGCCCAGTTTATAAACTTTTGGTGGCAAGTATCACTACTTTCTCAGCGCATGCGACACCTTGAAATCTTATCTCATTATTTGAATCTGGTTATGCTGAGATGGCTGTGCCATGGTCATTTTTCAACTAGCTATCTTAAAATTGTTAGATCATCTAACAAAAATTCCTTTGTCGTTGTGGGAATTTGAAGTTTGAGGCATAAGCCCCAAGTTTTATCAAAAAATTAGCGATAAATAGTCTTACCACTATCTAACTAATAAGAAAAACGCTTTAACTTTATATACTGACTCGATAATTCCAAAAAGGTAATATTTACTTTCCTATATCGCCAAAACACTATAAACCAACCACAGAAACCAAGAGCAAAAATAATCAGTTCACTGAATTTCGGGACAACCCACCTCACTTTCTACAGTGATGAGATAATAACAGTTCACTAACTCAGAAAATGTAAATAGAACTACAGTTTGAAATCTGCGGATGTTTCATGGCCCTGAAGCTGACCTCAGGGTATTCAATAACCAATTTTAAAATTACCAATAGAAGCCTGACTGATTTCTTCACCAAGAATTTTCACTGAAGAGGAAGAGACTTCAGACATTTATTGTTAAATAAATGTCATCGTCAAAATGGAAGAATGACAGGCCTCCTATCCCAAGGTAAGGGTCGAACATCACCTTAACGTGGTCAAGTCACTCTTAGATATGCTACTGCCGAAAACATTATCAGGCACAACCATACACAGCTTATATAGAATCGGCGAAAAGCCTGTCTCTACAGCAAATCAGCTGGTACGTCTTCTCAAAGTCGTACTAAACGCAAAAGAGTAGATGGATGACATTCTGAACAACTCTGTGACTCTTAAAGAATCAGGCATATACGTCCGTGCCGACTTATGCCTAGCAGGCTGTGTCGAAAGACAGTCTGAAGCCTCAGAATTAGGTGATCGACGCCGGAACAGTGGGAAAAACTTTAGGATTAAAGGTTTCCGGGTTATCAGAGTTCAAAGGTTTGTGATCCCGAAACCCCTGAGTGTAGGCAGCGGAAGGGCCAAACTGAATTGACAGTTTGCTACACCTATGCCTGCAGCCTGCTGAACAAACGGCCCTAGTTTGGTATTATGATAGACTCCGGAAATTCGGATGTAATTATCATCACAGAGACATGGCTCGCACCCGATATCACTGATAACGAAGTTAGCCAGCCAAACTTCGTGGTGCATTAGGTGGACCAGCTAAGCTGCAAAGGAGGTGGTGTAGTCATCTACCCCAAGAAATGCCCAACCGTGCATAGCATAGAAGTGTCGAAGTTTTTCAGTCAGCAACTTCAGCGCTTCAACAGTTGATTGGACAAGCCTCACCATACCATCTCCAGACAACGTCTTTGACTACAAACTGCTGGAATCTAGCATTTCGCTAGTCCTAGTCCGACATATTATGAAGCCCGCGCACTATGACCCACAGCACTACTCTTCAAATCTGAATGTAGCGTTCGCACATGGTGAGGATGTAGATGTCTTACAACATCTTCCTCGTTCACGAAGAAGTGATCACGCTCTGAAGTTCACAGCAGCAGTATCGTGGGGCTAAACCCCAGCCCGAGCAAACGTTTGGAAATCTGATATAAATGCGATCGTCTCAGCAGACAACTCAGTGAACTGGTACATCAGAGTCCCAAGTAGAAGCCGCAAGCGACCAATTTAAACAACTTTACGCCTAAGTAACTGAACTTTTCATTCGTTGATCTGTGCCAAAATGTCGGAAAAATTGCCCCCCCTTGAATAAACCGAGAGATTCGTAAATTACTCAAACTTAAACATGAATACTGGAACAAATTTATCACACATACGACTTCTAAGACTGGAAAGTTATACAGCGCTGGTAGGACCAAAGCTATTGCAGAAATCCGCCAATCTAGGATGACTCAAAATGCAACAGCACAAACTAAGAAAATTTCCTCGCACATGAACTTCACGTTTAAGATCTTCAATGGTGTCTCAAACCTGACTATTGACAACGATTAAATCAAAGAAGATCAAGAAAAACAGAAGCAATGGCAGAATACTTCTTCAAAATTATAGCTCAGGAGTCGTCACTCACCCATGGCATCAGATCAAGTCGCATTAGAGTAACACAAGATAGACTTCGTTGACGTCGATCAAGATTTCGTTCTCAAGTGCATAAAGAAATAATTTTACTGCAAATGAATCGCTATTCATCCAAGGCTTCTAAATGAGCAATCAGTTCGCATAGCAGGATCACTGACCATGATCATCAAGCTATCTCTCCTAAATTGCGTGTCACCGCGTGACGGGAAACACGCCATAGTGACCTCCATCCACAAAGAAGGATCAAGACAAAGTCCTTCAAACTACAGGCCTACTAGTCTCACCAGCGATTTAATCAAGACACTGGAAAGAATCGTCGAGAAAAGTGTCATGGCATATCTGGAAAACAACGACTTGTTATCCAGCACAGCATGGCCTCCAAGGGAACCTCTCATCCCTGTAAAATCTCACTACATGAGGAAGCTGGGTCAAATCAAGGGACAACAGAAGCCCATTGATGTCGTCTTCATGGACTTCAGCAAAGCTTTCAATAAAGGTCCTCACAAAAGACTACTCATGAAGCTGGAAAGTCCAGATATCAAAGGCAAGTTACTAAACTGGCTCAGGGAATTCCTCAGAGATAGGACACAGAGGGTCAGAATTTACTCGAAACTTTCCTCCTCTTTATTCGGACTTCCTAACTTCCATTTCAAGTTAAAATTATTATTCCGATTTGTTTCCATGCTCATTTTCTATACACCTGTAATTCGTTATGATCCTGTATAATTTTTTTCTAAGCCTCTCGTAGCCATATCTAGTTGAAAATAATTGTCACCTTATATTCGTCTTCGTAATTATATGGGATCAAATAAAAATTGCATCTATGTGAAATTATGTATTTAAATGCGATTGTACGGCTTTTGAAAACGAAATCGCCGAAAAGATACTTTTGCTGAACTTCCTGTTCTCTTCTTTCTAATGCCCTTATGAGTGTTTTCCACGATGATTTCTTATTGACAACACAATAGTAATTTATTCTCAGTTTTGTGCATGATGGACGCCAGCTTAAAGACATCGTCAATATAATAAATATTATATACAATTAGTAAGCACGTTTGCAATTATTCACTTACACGATGTATATATGTATATATATATACAAATGTATATGAGAAGGTAGTGGGATAGTGGGTTTAAGGTCATTTTAAATAGGCGGGAGCAGTGTGCGCAGACTAATACAAAGCGTCACCTTTGAAGACATTTAATGAAAATTCGCGTCATATTTATAATAATATATATTTATTCCTGTTTATGCAGGAACATACCAATTGTACAGGCATGGATAAGTTATTATATAAATTACACATGTTTCGATGTATGTTGAATTTACAATTTGTTTGTTCTTTCTGACATTAGAGTCAGTCGGAACAGTCTGCAAAATAGTCTGTCTGTGTAATACATAAAGAGATATAGAAATATCGTCTTCGTATTCACAAAATACCCAGACATCAGATGAATGTAGTACAAATATCTGGGAAAAATAAAGCTTGAAGTCAATTCTCCTATATAACTTTGTTGTGAACAGCATCGTTGAGTTAAAGTTTATTGATGTATTATTTTGAGGTCAATGATGCATTTATTCTATTTTTCAGCAGTCTAATCGTAGTTTCATAATTAGAAAGAAATTTAATCTTTGATACGAGAACTAGATAAGGTCATGTTGGATTGTTTTACTGCATCAAATGGGGCCGAGGTCGATTCTAGAACTTTCCATCGGCGCCATTTGTATCAGCATGGCAGACTGTACATGTAAATTGAGTAATACATTGAAAACTGTTTGAAAGCCAGTTGCTTCTTTATTTCAGATCACGAATACTCCTTGTACAGAATGTTGGCCAGCGTTTTCAAGTGGTAGCACCGCATCGTTCATGGAATTTGAGTTAGAATTTACTTAAATGGCCATTTCAGTTTAAGTGTTGGGTTGTTCGACCTCGACCAGGAGGTATATAGAAGTGCAGTCTCAGCAATAGAATCTCAGAAAGAGAAAGTATGTGAAGATGAAAAGAACATCAATATTTTATGTATATATAAATGTTTATAAATGTATGTAAATGTATGTAAATTTACGTTCATATGAAAATATACGTTATTATTATTATACATCCTATTAGTAGGGTAGCACTTTTGAAGTGTATGTTGACCCACAGGGTATCGTGCATGTCTTTGAGTTCTCTATTTTCTAGCTGAAATACAGTGTGTTCAGGAGGTACATTAGGCAGCTTCCTCCCTTACCACTGTTCTTGTCACATCGAAAGTGTGTGTACCCAGCGATGCTTATCTCTCCGTCCGGTATATTGGAGTGACACCGGGATTCAGTAATAAGGATTTTCGGAGGTCTATATACCGAAGTGTGTGCCCGGAGCATCTGCATTTTGTTTAGGGTAGATCTAGCATTATTAAGGATTAAGTAAAGTTGAGAGTTGAAGTAGTGTTTGGAGTACTTAAGCTCGTTAGTCAGGCTCA